AATGTTTTAGCGGGGGGGGGGGGGGGGGGGAAATCGGAGTGTCTATTTACACTAAGTGCAAATGGCCCGCCTTGTTGGCAGAGGCTATTTACACTAACTCCACCCACCAACGTGTGATTGGGCTAGTCAACATTACAAAAGATGGTCATCAGTTGTCAGATTCAGTGGCGTAGTTGGTAAAGCGTGTGTCATATTCCTTTTGATGCGATCGACCCGGGTTCGAATCTGCCTTTTGGCAAACTTTTTTTCTCCCTTTTCAAATTTCAAATCACATCAGAAAAGCATTTATTTTTAATAAAAATTAAGGAAATAATCAAAAAGTTTAAAATAAAGTATCGGGTAGGTGTAGGGAGGATCTTTTGTCCCAATAAGGTGGCATCCATTTAATCATTTGAATTCAAATTAAATTTTACACTCAATAAGTTATTATTGCATACTGTTTTATAATGTATTACAATGCTGAGGTGCAGATAATTGCCACTATTTGCAATAAGTAATTAGCAGAATATCCTGCTATTTTAACATAGTATAAATAGAATCTATAGCTATATTTGCACTTAGTGTAAATAGCATAGCACTAAAAAATACTGTATTTTTCACTAAGTGTAAATAGTCTCTACCCCCCCACGCATACAGCACCCCCAACCTAAAACATCTTCCCGCGCCCCTGCCTCCAAGTGGGAGGGACTTATGCCACAAGTAGGTTGGGAGACCTCCAAGTGGGAGGGACTTATGCAGCAAGTAGGTTGGGAGACCTCCAAGTGGGAGGGACTTATGCCACAAGTAGGGTGGGAGACCTCCAAGTGGGAGGGACTTATGCAGCAAGTAGGTTGGGAGACCTCCAAGTGGGAGGGACTTATGCCACAAGTAGGGTGGGAGACCTCCAAGTGGGAGGGACTTATGCAGCAAGTAGGTTGGGAGACCTCCAAGTGGGAGGGACTTATGCCACAAGTAGGGTGGGAGACCTCCAAGTGGGAGGGACTTATGCAGCAAGTAGGTTGGGAGACCTCCAAGTGGGAGGGACTTATGCCACAAGTAGGGTGGGAGACCTCCAAGTGGGAGGGACTTATGCAGCAAGTAGGTTGGGAGACCTCCAAGTGGGAGGGACTTATGCCACAAGTAGGGTGGGAGACCTCCAAGTGGGAGGGACTTATGCAGCAAGTAGGTTGTGAGACCTCCAAGTGGGAGGGACTTATGCCGCAAGTAAGTTAGGAGACCTCCAAGTGGGAGGGACTTACGCCGCAAGTATGCGCACATCAATATAGCGTAATTTTTCTCACACTGTACAACAATAATTACTATTTTTGCATTATTGTTAGGGGTAGGTTTAGGGTTGGGTTAGGTGTAGATGTTAATAAAACACAAGCTGTAACTCTGTGTCATGTACAAGACATTAAATAAATCAATCAAAAGCCCCAGGAGGTTTATACAGCCTACTTGGAGCTCAAGTCCCACCCATTTGGAGCTGACCCGCCCATTTGGAGCTGGCTCCGACCTCCGTTTATACCTAACTCCTTAAACCCGTGGACTAAAAAAGCAACCTGAGGCAATAGTCCACTTAAACCACTCCTACTTTTGAGTGCAATAAAGGGGCAGTCACACTACATGAAAACGCAAGCTCACGCAAAGACGTTTCGCATTTTGGTGCATCCCAAAGTTCAAGTTCAGTGAACTCTTAACCTGCAAATTCGTATCACGTGAAGCCATGTGACCAATAGAAGATCGATACCTCGTAGCTGAATTAAAAGAAAATACATTTAAAACTGCAGTGTTGTAGGAAAGTGGAGTAGATTGTATGTTTTAACATTCTGCATTCATTATTATTTGTTTTGTGTTGAATTTATGCTAAATAAATTACGGTCATACCGTTGCGGTGTCCGAAGAAATTTTGCTTGCTCAAAGTCTAGTGTGACTGGGGCATAATGCCCACATCTCAAAATACAGTCAACAACCGATGTATAGAAAACAAACAGCATTGTCATGATCACAGCAGAAGTACTCAAAGAAATATATTAGCCTGTATAGGAGGGAGCTTTATATATGTTTGTGGCCTTGGAGTTAAAAGGATTGCAAGTCACTGCTTCTTTAAAAGGCCTTTTTTGTTCACAATTGCGTCAGTAGCTTCTCTTTTCTTTGAGCGTGTTAGTTGATTAGATATTCTTCACTTTATTTTGTTAAAGCAAGTAACAGGTTGAGTAACAATTTTCTCAGATAGGCCTTGGTTTTCAACAATAGAGCCGTTCTTTATTATAGGGCCGTAAATGCATTTCTGAGGTCATCTAAACTTTAATAAAATTGTATTAATACATTAATAAAGTTATGGAAATGGAAAGGTTTCATCAAATGATTTAGGTACAGTGGGTATAGAAAAGAATCGCCCCACTTTAAAATAATCACATTTTGTTGCTTTGCAGCCTGAAATGAGGATGGACACAGTTTTTGTTTTATCCAGCTGTATTTACTCAGTGCAACTTATAACATCCAAGTGAAAGATATAACACCATCATGTCAGAAAATGGAAAAAGGATCACCTCCCCTCCTAAAAATGACTTGTAAACTAAATCAGGTGTGGCTATTCACCTTCTCAAGGGCACACAAAGCCATCTGACTTTCAGCTGTGATCAGCTGTGGTCATTAGGATCACCTCAGCAAGAAAAGAGCTTTCCTGGAGCATTTCAGTCCTTGGTAGTGCAACTGATGCAAACAACCATGGGTGGCGAGGCACTGTCAAAAGATCTCCGGGATAACGTTATGGACCGGTACAAGTCAGGAGATGGATCCAAAAACATTTAAAAGGCTTTATCAATGCCTAGAAGCACAGTGAAGTCTAATATTAAGTGGAAGGTATTTGGTACAACACAGACCCTCCCTGGATCAGGATGAAAAAAGTTGCAAGAAAAAAAAAACTCCTCAAGAAAGGCCACATGCCGTCAGACCAAGGTTATTTTTGTAAACGAAAACAAAAACTAAGACTAAAACGATTGATGAAAAAACAATTTCATACACCGAAATAAAATAAAAACGTCAAAATATTTGAAAAACGAAACGAAACGAAGCTAACAACAGTTATTGAAAAACTAACTGAAATAAAATAATAATTATCAAAAATAAATTTTTTGTAATCATTACGTTCTCACCCCTTGGCGGAAAAATATACGAGCTGCATGGAGGTTTAGGGAAACGGCCTACCTGTAATGGCCGAGAGATGCAAAGCAGTTTAAAGCCTGCACGGGTCCTGTTTGGTAAACGTGCACCAGCAGTATTTAACAGAACACCCGACCCATTATCTGACAGCAGCACTAATTTAATTCTGTACCAGACCAGAACCGTTTGACATAAAGACCGCGAGTCGCGACCCGAACCGCACTCGCATTAAATCTATTACATCAGTTAAGCAAGATTATTTATTTTCTCAT